AATAATTCTTCTTGATGACTTTTAATTTTAAAACAAGTTATTTACCACTAAAGGAGAATTGCCATCTTGTATACAGATCACACTTAAACTGGCATAACTATCCAGATTTTTCAAGCTACGCCTTAAGTAAAAAGCAAACCTTATGTTCCAACACTTGATTCTCTGTCATATTTTCTTTCCTCTACATGTGACAGGAAGATTTTATTAAAAGTATATGGATTCTAAATTTACATATGGCATCCTTAAACATTTTAACAGAAACATCAATAGGACTGATATAGACCTTACCATTAGATACAAGTATGTAAATAAGCCTACTCAGGTTATATAAATTATTAAATAAGGCAGACTGCTTGACAGTAGAATTTACTAAAAACTTAGATGCTTCCTGTGCCATTAGCAGAATGCTTTCTTCAAGAAAAGGGAGTTTTCCCAAACATTGTTCCACACATGATATTGAGGATGCTGTTTTACATCATTCCATGAAAGGCATAACGTTATCATATCGTTTGTCCTAATGAGTCTTAACCAATTAAAAATTGTCTTTTTAATATGACACAATGGAGAGATTTTGTTTTGATTCTATTCATAGTATTCAAAATGCTACCAAAAATACATATCAAAAAAAGGAGTTTTGAACTTTCTTATACAGCAGTAATAAACAATAAATGAAAAAACACCTGAGGTTTAATTCTTTATAAATAGGAGAGGAAAAGTCACCAAATGACAATGTGTGTTATGACATCATAGCACGAATGAAATGGCTGATATACTTGTAATAGATGCCATGACATAATAATATAATCATAACATTTGTACAATTAAGTCATGACACTTGTCATTTTGCTGTTATTGTAGCTTGCTGCGGCAATATGAAAGAACGAAAATTGAAGTTTCAGGATATTATTTACCATGCAATTTTCCTTTAGAATATTTGTTTTTACCAATTCAAAGAACACATTATTTATGGATAACCCATGGTATACTACAACTGTCAAACAAAAAGAAAGCAGATTATTTTAAATTACCTTTTATCACAGTTTAGCAAAGAAAACTACAATATGTGAAATGTGAGAGGTAACTGTAGTTTTTTAGCCTTAATATAAATTGATAATAAAAAATACTAGGCTTCCTAATGTAATAACAAAATTACTTAATAAATACTTGAGAAGTTAGGTCAACTATAGAATAAACAGACAATCAGTTATATCTTTTAAAAGTTCAAAAGCTTCTAAACTCTGTTACACAGTGAAGCAGAAAGGTTCACTGGAATATTAACACAGTAAAGTGTGACAGAACAACTCTCTTGATATCTGGCACTCAGCCAGATCTCTCTAGGTATTGTCAGCCCTATTAAAACTTTGAAAACAGTTGTTAATCATTCATAAGTGTGCATTTTCTGAATTTTTAGATGTACACTTTTTTTTCCTCACAGGTTAATGCTGTGCAGTGCTTTGGATCTGAAGAGAAAAAGGTTCAGAGCATGCAGGGGCATACAACGCCTTTTCCCAAGATTGTGCTGCAGCTGTAGAATGAATGTGATCCTAGGAACAGACTCAAATGCTTTAAGGATTTGCTGAAAGGTACTATGTGAACATTCCAATGTGCTCTGAAGCACCTTCTTCCTTTCAAATCTAAAGTGCTACACAGCCATCTCATGGATCATCAGGCAGAGTATTTCAAAAGCCTCAGTAGCAGCTACACCAGAGTCAATGTAAGTATAACCTACTCATGACCCCTCACTCCATCCCTAGAATTTCTGGCACCATCCACTTTCATCATTCAGTCAAAACAAGCCTACTAAACCCATATACATACAGTACTCCAAATAACAAATGGCAGAAATAATACTGAACAATTTATTTATTTTATATTTATTTCTCCATAATCCACAGGCAGATCATACCATACAGTTTAAAAATCAAAATGAAAAAGAGACTTCAAACAATAACCACTGATATTTTAACAATGATCAAAATTAACACACAATTAAAACTTACTAAAAGCTTGGTAAATGGAAAAGGCCTTCACTATCTTAGTATTAACAAAGCAACTGCTATAAAATTCTACACTTCATCTTTCTTGGTAACAGATGTACAGCAAACCTAGTAAGAATGACAACTGATGGGACAGATTTATACAAGAGATGCTCTTTAGATACAAAAGCCACACTACAGTTTATACACAATAATCAACTCCTTAAAATAAGCCAGAGTAGTGCAGAAAGAACTGTCCTGAAATACATATGAACTGAAAAGAGGATTTAAAAAAAAAAGTCTTTTGACCATTCTTCAACAGGAGTCCCACACAGAAAACACTGGAGGTGACTAAAACATGGCTGAATATTGCTGTAGTCTGCGCAAATATAAACAGATCAATCCTGTGTACAAAAAAACAAAATAGTTCAAGAATATACAAACTTCTTCAGATAATCAATCATGAAGTGTACAGCTATACAGGAGAAGAGCTGCAAACCATACAGCCCGTATAATGTGTCTGTGGGAGGGAGAGTAAGATTAGAAAAAAGAAAGGTAAATACAATAGTTCAGTGATATACTATATGCTTTCCAAGTAGAAGACCCCAATTTAAGCTCCTGGTATCTCAGTTAAAAGAAAGCATGCAACTTTAATTTTTATAATTGCTAGCACATGGTTCTTTGGCAAAAAAGTGGCACATATATTTTGTAAATAAATAGCACAAGATGCAAAAGACTTCTGAAAGTTTGGAAAGCTGCTCACAGACAAAGCAGACAATATACAATAGACGACATTAGATGGACTAGTAACCTATGATATTTATTTATATAAAATTGTGTACTTTGGCGATGAAGGCAGTTAACAATTCCACAACTTTACAATTCCATTATATCCTATATATATTTTTATATCTATTGATATAAACTACAATAGATATAAAACTACAGCATTCAAGCTCACAAGAAACAATAAGCATGTACTGCTGAGCAGATAATTCAGTGAGAAGTAGCAGGACCAAACTAGAGAAATACAGTCTAACAATCAGGGAGAGAGAAATGCAGTTGCATAAAGCAAAACTCATGTTGTGAAATATCTGTCAACAGGCAATATTCTGATGTATAATACAAAGACCATGAGACAAAACTCTTCCACTTTTGCACCAGAAAAATCATTTGGCCACAGAAGCAAACAATGGCACCAGCATCAATGGCTGTAACAAAATGATACTCTATCTACCACATCAAATACAATGACTAGGAATTTCATGGATGCAGTCTAGTACTAAAGGAACAGTGGAGGGGGCAAAAAGTACATACAATGGCTTTCCAATAAAGGACTGGGGAGAGTTCAGCGACATAAATGAAAGTGCAAAGGGATAGTCAAAATAAACAGTGTATTTCAATGCACTTTCCCTAGTAATATTTAATACATTTATATCCCAAGAATATTTACTGGGTTTAGACCTCTTCACTGTATTCAGCCACATGTTCATTAGGACATGGGACGCATACTGAAGACACAGTAATTTCTACAAAAACTCTTGGTCACAAATCAGAGCCAAATAAAACTAGTATATTTTTAGCTTGGCTATGGAATTACATATTCCTGGTACTTTGTCATAGTTACTCAATCCCATTCCTCCCAAGCAATGCCTGAAATTCTGACCAATATATCCCCACATCGCTTTTGAGTTCCACTAGCAACAACAAATATTAGTTCAACAGTGGCAGCATGTCAATACATATCAACTACATAAATATAACTAGAAACCCTCTGTTGAGCAAAAAGGGAATTAGGAGCGATCCTAACACCTTTCATAAGAAATAAGTGGGAGATAGATTAGAAAATACAGAGTAACATAAATATATTTATAAAGTGTGAAAAGCCTCCGAAAATAAGCATGCTTAAGAACTATCCATTTGCTCACTGTTAAAGATCAGCAAATAAAAAACAAACTTTTAAAAATAACCGATAATAAAAATGTGATTTCAATGTATTCAGAGGATGCTGCTGCCAAATATTTTTAGGATATGATTTTAACTGCATACTCTTGGTCACAGTTTTGCTCTATCCTGAAAAACTGCACAAGATTTTTTTTTCATATTTATCCAAAGGAGAGATGATTTGATATTTAAGAAACCCCTATCTTAAAAGGAAAAGGGGACATGGTTGTGAATATTTTAAAAAAAGGGCAGGGCTAGAACAAAATTACTAATTAAAAATTACATGTAACATTAAGTATCTCATTTAAAAAAACTATTAAATCTTATCTGTATATCAAACTCATACATAATCACTTTCACATACAGGTAGTTCTCACTTAACAACCCTAATTAGGAATTTTTGTCACTAAGTGAAGCAGTCATTAGGTGAAACATAATGTGACTGCACTACTTAGTGACTGCAGTTCTGGTAATCCCAGTTGCAGTCATGAGGCCAGGACCGTGCTGTTGTTAGGTGAGGACCTCATGCTTCTCCTGCCTTGCCGCACTTGCTTTTGCTTCAACTCCCCCTGGGCAGTGGAGTGCAGGGTGGCCAAAAGGGCAGAGATGGAGGGGAGATGAAACAAACCTTGCAGTTGTAAATGCAGGTGGGCTGCCAAGCACCCAAATTTGAGGACTGGTTGTGAATACCATTCATTCAACGCTGTCATAACTTCGAATGGTTGCTGAACGAATGATCATTAAGTGAGGACTATCTGTAAAGAAATTCACAAGTATGCACACATTCCCTTCCTTCTAGTATCAAAAGAAAGAAAGAAAATCATAAAGATGACTGGAAGAAGTAACTGCATCTAAAAGGGGAACAAAACTGCCTGGAGATGAAATGAGAGGAAGAGGTAACTGGACAGGGAAAGAAAGAAAAGAGAGAGAAGCCTTGTTCAGGCGTTACAAAAAAGGGGAAAATAACTAGGAAGCAGTTCTCTTAAACAACTTAATCAACTGTTAAGAAATTCCCTTAATTTACAGGTAAATATTTGGGAAAAAATAATACCAAGTTTAGGATATATGATACTAAAGTAAAGAGAGACCATTTGGTGTAGTGGTTAAAGGTGCTGAATTAGAAGCTGGAAAACTGAGTTCTAGTCCTGCCTAGGCATAGGAGCCAGCTGGGTAATTTGGGGCCAATCAATCTCTCTCAGCCTAGGAAGAAGGTACCAGCAAAGCCATTCCCAAAAATGTTGCCAAGAAAACTGCAGAGACTTGTTCCTGTAATCACCAGGAGTCAGTATTAACTTGAGGACAGCCACACTAGAGGAGTCACACCAGGAATCAGGATTAATGTGATAACACCACCACACTAAAGTAAAGATAGATATATTCAAGGTGTCTTGTTGACATGTGAACACCTGATAGCAATGTAAGCACACACATTTGAGATAAATTAGGATAGACTTTATATATCTACTTATAGATAGACAACTTCCTTAGATTGTAGTCTAAGAAATTATAGTACATTCAATTCTCTGTAATTTTCTCATAACTTTTAAATATTGGGGCATTTTAGAAACCTAACAGGAACATATATGAATTACTTCCATAAATATTATAAGGTTGAGCATAGTCAACTTCTTTTATTCTGCCATTTTAAACGACATACTCTGTTTTGAAACACCACTGTGATCATACATATTTCCTTCCAAAAAGCTTACCTGTTTTGTTGACTTTTTAAAGCCATTAAAAATTTTCCAAGCAAGCTTGTTGCCACCGCTAGCAATGTGCCGACCAACATCAAATTCCCTGGTAACTGGATTTCCCATGACTGCACTTGTGACATCTGCAGTCACTTTTGTAACAGTGCTCTTCAATTTATTTAGCATCAACTCCATTGTTATGACAGTCCTCTAGTATGTCTGCCTATAAAGGAAAGAATTCTTAAAAACAGTTTTGAAATTTTGTTAACACAAACATATACAACATCTACTCACTAAAGATAAGATTTTCTAGATAGTATTCACTCTTAATGCTTATTTAAATGAAAGTTTGACGTCCCAGATAATAAAAAAGAATTTTAACATATTTTTGTATCCCTTTTGAAGCAGTCAATATGAGAAATATTGTTTTTAGTTTTAACAGTTTAAAAGTGTTAAAAGTATCAGCTCCTTGGGAAAAGAAGGAACTATATCCTAAAAAGGCAAAAATAAGCAGACTGTGCATATGACTTCAACAATCTAAGTTATGGTATCAGTTAAAATCTATATCAGAGATTTTGCTATTTATTCAATTTGAATAAACTATCCTTTCATTGAAAGAATGGTGAAGGGATTTAAGGCATTGAATTTGTTACCTATGCCGAAAAAAAAAGTTTGAAAGACATAGAATTAATTAATGTAAGAGATTAATTGCTATACTCTGTTACAATACCCTTTCTAATATTTTGAAATTGATATAATATATAAATATATTAAATAAAAGATTAACACATTACAAAATATACCCAAATATCAAATCATAGGGCTGGAAAAGATGTCTCCTAGTCCAACCCCATGCCAGGTCTGAGAAATCCTCAGACAAACCCAGACAGATGGTTGTCCAACATCTGTTTGAAAATGTCCAGTGATGGAGCACTCATGATTCCAAGAGGCAGACTGTTTCACTAATAACTTTCACAGTCAGGAAATTCTTTTTTTATTTCAAGTTTGGATCTCTCTTTGTAAAGCTTCCATCCATCGGTTCTTCTCCTACTCTCGGGTACTATAGGGAATGAATTTAGATTCTCTTCCCTGTCACAGCTCTTCAAATATTGGAAGATGCTATCACGTCTCCTTTCTGCCTTCTCTTGTTTAGGCTAAACTTATTTAGTTCTTTTTACCATTTTTATAGGATTCAGCCTCCAATCTTTTCACCATCTTTGTTGCTTTTCTGTTTACTTTGCATTTCTTAGCATACTTCTTGTACTGTGCTAACCAAAACTGGACAAAGTCTTCTAGGTGCAGTCTGACCAGTGTAGTGTAGAACGGAACTACCACTTCCTGTAATGTCAACATATATCCTTATTGATGCAATCAAACATTGCACTGGCTCTTTTGGCAGCTGCATCACACTGCAGAGGTACTATCTGTACTTTAAGTCTGTCTTCTGAGGTGTTAGCAGTCTCTTCCCACCCCACCCTGCAGTGTTGAAGTGTTGACTTCAAATTTGCTAAGTACCCCTTCTTTCCTCTCATCTAAGTCATCAAAAATATTGAAGAGCACTGGGTCCAGAATAGAATTCTGAGGTATGCCACTGCATACCTCTCTCCATGTAGACACAGGTCCATTAAATGATTATGTGTCATCAAGTCACTGTCAACTTTTGGAGACCTCATGCATACGTTTTCTGCGACAAAATAGGTCCATTAAGGACCACGTATTGGGTACAGTTGTTCAACCAATTGCAAATCCATTTGGTAGTGGTACCACTCATCCCACATCATTTCATTTTATCAAGAAGGAGACTATAGTCAATTTTATCAAGTGCCTTACTGAAGTTTAGGTACACTTATCTACAGCATTCCCTTAGTATACTAATCAAATCACTTTGTCAAAAAAAAAAAGTAATATTGTTGTTAATTGGTCTGTCTTTTCCATTTTCCTTTTTTAAAAGAGTGGAACAATAGCTCCTCTCTAATCTTCTGGCACTTCCCTTGTACTTCAGGAATTCTCAAAGATCAGTCAGTAATTCTGAGATCACAAACTATTTAATTTGAAGTATAATATTCTCTTTACATCAATGGGAGAAACTATGCTTCAAGCAATCCACCAAGGCTTAAACAAACAGTAACAATTTTAAGCAGATCATGGGTTAGATGATTTATAGGGCATCATATATTTGGATGGTTGAGATTATATTTGTGTATCTAAGACTGCATGTTATATAATCCATTTATTTCCTTCAATTTACATGATGCTTTACTAAAAATTCATCATCAAAACTCAGCTATTTTTCCTTCCAGAATACAAACATATACTTTGTATCAACTCCATCAACTTTGCTTTCAAGAAAGGATATTTCCTACCATATTTCTTACAGAAATGATAGATATGTCCTAAACAGAACTATAACTATAGGCTATAGTATCCTTTGGGTCACTCGAAAGAGTTGATTGGGGGCACCATTTGGCAGTGGTTCCATTTTTTGCTGAGGGGGCAATCTTAAATGGTATTAGTGGGAGAGACTGAGTCTTTAGGTATTCTGCTATTACATACCTCAGGACATGTTTCTCCATTTTTCCCAACATCTATATAAAGCCATTGTGAGGTTGTCACTGATTTGGGATTATATGTCATCATTATGCATCTCTATAGTAGGCTAAACAGGAGATGCAATCTTGACCCAATGTGTAGAGGCAGTGTATGTCAACCCTACAAGGTAGACCAGACCAAGAAACAGATGCCATGTAGGCCTAAAACTACCTTCATTGAGATTGACTACTATAACAGAATTTGCAAGTCTGAATGTGTTTCCCCTCCTTTTACCTATTGTGTGAATTAGGTGGTACCTGCCTGAGATGTTTTTGTATTCCTCCCCCTTCATCTGGGCTTCTGCAATGTTTATTTGTTTCTTGCCTTGGTAATAAATCTTCCTCTCTCTGTCAAGGTCATCTTCTTTATAGTGTAGGACTGGATGGAGTTGAACAGACTCATACTTAATCCTAACAAGATGGAGCTGACTTTGATACAAAGTTCTTCTGCATCCATGAATGTTCCATCTATTGTTCTCAATAATGTGATACTGCCACCAAACAGCAGATATGCAATGGCTATCTACAACTGACTTATGGCTCCTGCTAGAACAGCAGGTGGAGGCTTGTCTCCTTTATTTTTCAATTTCATTCTTGAACCATTAGCCTCTTCTACTAGACAGTGTTAAGGTGTGTAGTGGAACTCAGCATTCAATATAAATTGTTGTTATATGTTCATGATAGTATGGCTATCCTTGATAATTATCCAATGTTATTACCAAAGCTTTTCAAATCGCAATAGCAATATGGTTTATGCTGAACATTAAAACTTCCATTAAATCTTTGGGGCAAGATTAATGTTATCAAAATGAATAATTCTGATTAGTAATTACTTAAGATTGATGCATATTGTAAAAGAGATCCCAATGTTAAACCCAATTAAATACTTTATATAACTTAATGGAAAATGCTTGACAGACTAAATCCCTCAAACACTCCAGGCCAAATTTAGATTCTTTTACAATGAAGGCAAATTCAATCCACCAGATTTTCAACTATATTACTGGGATTTTATTTACCAGGATACTTTTTGGAACAAAACCTTTTATGAATATTCTCCCCTTTGAACCCATTAGGAGAACAAGTGTGTAATACCACTGAAATCTAGGCAAATTTTAGGGTCCAGATATAGTAAATAGGGATTGTTTCCAGACTTGAAAGCTGCTAGGCATTATTAATAAATGGTTAGATTTTGATCTTGAATCACATGAGAAATTGACACTGTGGAATAATCCAAATTTGAAAATAGTGGGGAAGATGTTTTACTGGAATGCCTGGGGTAAACAAAGGTTCAACACTTTAAATTTGTTTTTTTCTAATAGTTAAAGACTTAGAGAGTATGTGTAGAATGTAACTTACCTACAATATTCGCTTGGCAAAATACACAACTAAAATATGTACTAATTAAACAGTATGGCCTGGATGTTCTAATGGTCTTCAGTATGCCTGCAATTTTAGAACCTTCACAAGATGCAGTGTGGAATGGAAACCAACAATTCAATTTTATAAGATATTAAAAAAGAAAATGAAAGTTAGTATTAGTTGTATATTTGAATTGTGGAATGAAGAACTGGAATACTTTATTCAGTTCTGGAGAATCAGTGGTTCCAGTTGTTAAGAAACATAAAATTATGATTTAAAATGAAATTAATTCATCAGAAAATATTTTATATTTACTAGACCCCTAGCAAGAATGTTTAAGATGGAGGAACATGCATAGTCACGTTGATTTCAACTTATTACATATGTCAGCAAAATTTTGGGAAGAAATATTGTTAAGGATCTTAATGAGAGGTTGAACTATATTTCTAAAACACAGATTTTGTCATTTCATGAAGAGCTTTGGCTACATTGAGCCTGGGGCATGGCAAAGAGGATAATTTTATGTATCTGTGAATAAAACTTATCCTGATTTTAAGAAATACATCTAGGATATAAGTCTGTTATTTATTTTGAAAAGTCTGTGTTCTAAAAATCAGAAGATGAAGCAATGTGTTTTTATGTGGTCTAGATTAATTATTAGTTTAAGGACAGAATTAATTTTGTATTATTACCTATTATTTTTCCCTTTTTTCTAGGTTTTCTTTCTTCTGCATGATCACTATTCTCCCCCCCCCCTTTTTTTTAACTGTTGGTGCTGTAGCTTTTTGTTATTTTACTATTAATGTGTGTGTTTTTAAATAGAGCCTTTAGCCAGTTCTGGTTGGTCTACCAGCTGTGATTCTTCCCAGATGAAAAGACAATGAAGATAATGACTCTAGTTCTTGTCCTGCAGTTAATCAGTGGTAATTTGGTCTACATGAAGCTGCTCTTGAAGATGACCTATAAGCTGCAGCTGATACAAAATGCAGCTGTCCCCTATTTCTATTAACTGGTTTAATAGAAAAAAACATTCATCCTGTGGGAGCACTGATTACTAGCAGGCTTTGGGCTTGATTCAAAATATATTAATTATAAAGTCTTATATGATTTGACCTGTTAGTTTCAAGATGATCTGCTCCAGGTGAAATCTGTCAACTCAATGCAGTCTAAATGGGAGGGGTACTGTGGGTACCCATCTCCTGAGAGATTAAGGGGGCAGGTGCCCATAAGATGGGCTTCCCAGTAGCAGCACCCTCACTGTAGAATACAGTACTCTGCCTCCTGAGATCAGGATGCCCCTCCCCCTTTTGGTATTTAGGAAGGGGTGAAAACAGTTCATTTTTAAATGAAGGGTCTCCAGTAGCTGACAATAGTATAGAAAGATAAGGATTTGTTTTCTGATGCTTGAGTAGATGGCATACAAATTGTTGTAATAGATATTTCATTTACATACATCATATATGGAAATTATTCTGTGACATAGTAATAGTTATGAAAAATGTTTGCATGTCATTTAAGGATATAGAAAATATTATGGACCTAAAAATTAGTACAGCTGTAATTCCTGAAGTTAGGCTGAGGAACTTGCTGTAAGAAGCATGCCTGCAGTTCTACAGAGATGGCAGGCCCAATTTTTCTTTCCAGACAGGCTTTCTAAGACTGCTTTACGTGTGACTTAATGAGATGGCACATCTCTGAAAATAGCTTGAATCTACCTTTTAAATTAAAAACAGTACAATCCAAATAGAAGTATGTTGCAAAGTGTTTAATTGTCCTTGATCACAAATAAATGAATATGACTTCAGCTTGCATTAATAATAATAACAAATTTAAGAATAATTGCTGTGCATTTTAAGCCTGGAAGTAAGGATTTCAATTCCATTACTTTCAATGGGAACTTTTACTAAAGTCACTTTTGACTGTAACATCAGCAACTCTTCAGATACACTTTTAGAGGAAGTGATTTCTATTTAACTGCTTCCGTATCTCACAAGAAATTAATTACAGTGAATTGTCAGGAAAAGTTTCAGAAGACTCATGATATATGAAAACAGTAAAGAATTTAATTTTCTATGAAGCAGTAATCTTCAAATCAGGGCCACCCCATTAAGTGTTTTGGCTTAGACTTCCCAAGCAAGTTTTGTCAGATGGTGCAATAAGTGGACAAACTAAAACAGATATAAAATATATTCACTAATATTACTTTTATGCCCCATTTGATAATGCAATACTATATATAGACTTTTAAATATGCTGTATTTCTACAATATCATTTATACTGCCCATTTTAAAAATAGATTAATCAACTATTGGGTCATTTAAAAGCAAAAATGCGCCTATCTTTTAAAAAACGTTGATTTTTTTGAGATGTGAGACTAGAGGTACAAAAAGCAGCCCATTCTTTCGGAACACGCCTAAAACAGGTACGAGTTTCTCACCGTGTAAGCACCCTTACAGAAGGCTGGGGCAGCCCTTCCTCTCAGCCGGAAGAGCCTGCTAGTTGGGGAAACTCTATTACTAGAAAGAGCCTTGCTTTTATTTCTCTTTTTCTCCACGTCGCTCACGACCGATCGAGAAAAGCACCGTAGCAGAAAACACGGTGGAGAGGAATAACGTCATCCAGCTCTCCCTGTCCCTGCCTGCCCAGATTACACCATTCAGGCCCTCCTTGCGATTCGGAGGGAGGAAACGGGCCCTTCCCCGCTCCAAGATCTTAAGGCCACTCTCCGGCACCGAGAGCGGCGGCCGCCCCAAATCCGGCTCACCTCTTCCTGAAGAAACGGTACAGCCCCACAGTGGGGCGTGGTTGACCAAGTGTAGACCCCGCTCGGCTACGCCATGGCGACCACCTCAGCCGCCAAACCTGACCTGTCCGACTCCTTCCGCCGCCCGCCTCCGTTGTTGTCACTGTGAGAGAAACAAGAGATGGGCACGGGGCCGGAAGTTGTGCCGGAGGAAGCCCCGCCCACCGCTCACGCCGCCAACGGTAGTTTCAGTGCCGGCGGCAAGTTTGATTGTCCATTCAAGCGGCCGGGTCTGGAGCGAGGAGGTCGAGTAATGGGCACGTTTCTCCCCGGACGAAAATCCTTCAGGACTGCTCAGCTGAAGGTTTCAGATGAAGACGCTTGAACTTCCCTTTCTGTTTTTGGCTCTTCTCCCATCACATAGGCCGACTTTCATACGTTGCACTAAGACATGGTTTTAGCTTACTGTGTCATGGCTTAGTATACTACGTGAGCTCAGCCAGTTTTACTTCATTTAATAAACAGAGCAATGTATGAACCATGGGTGTCCAAAGGAAGGGGGAAGCAAATTATATGTGCTTCATTACCTCATCACACAACTTATGTATTTGCATACTTCATACATGATGCAATTACATAAATGCATACTTTACACAAGATCATTACTTGCATTGGCCATTGCCACTTGTTACAGGAATTGCTGGTACAAACTCAGTTATGTAGTTGTCTGAGATTCCGAAACTCAACATGGGGACTGAGGCTACAGTATAGTTATGAGAAAGTCCAGGTGTTATGGATCACAGATGTCAGTCAGTCCTGGGTACAATAAATGGAATATTACATGTGTGTGTGTATATGCATACACATCTTGGCATTCAAGACTGCTTGCTTCTCAGACAATGTAGCTCTTTGTTTCAATAAGATCTTTGAGGAGTTGCTTATTTTAGCATGTACTATAATCAAAGGAAAGATTCCCCTACAACCCTCTCTCTCATTGTTAGTGATGGCAACAATCAAGGGTACCATGGCTGAATTACTGAATGCTGCCAAGGGATCTAAAAGGAGAGGCACAATCTCATAGCCAGGTTCTGATGAAGGTCATGTTCCAGAGAGACCAATGCTGTTTCTGTCCCGTGTGCCTGCCTGAACCCTGACTGGAAAGGATCCAGATGGTCCATTTCTTCTTAGATCTAGTTAATTCCCTATCACCTCCAGAATCTTACTCCAATTTGAAGACAGAGAAATCATCTAATACAGCTGGAGAGAAACAGCCTCTTCAAAAGACAGCACATCACCATTTATTTTGAGGCTGGTGGCATCTCACCCTCCCTCAGAAAAACATTTTTCATCTCCTGAATCCAGCCATGTATATCCCACAACCACCCAAAGGAGCCAGGTTGTACATGGGTCTAGTTATTCCTATTATAAGATGTATGTATGTTATGTCTATCCTGAAAGACAATTCAGATCAAGACAATATCTGATCAATATCAATAGAATGAAATTGACAGAAAAATACTTTTGTAACAAATGTCCAATCTGAAACAGGCACTGCAAATTTTTTTGGTCAGTCCTCACCAAAACTACTCTATTTAGTTCTGAACTAATTTTATAAAGGATTCAGAGAAATTAGGACAAATTCATAGAACAGCAATGAGGATTATCAGAGGACTACAAATTCTATGAAGACTGACAGAGCTAGGTATTTATAGCCTTGAGAAAGCTGAAGCACTACTATATATTACAGCACTCTTCTGTTTAATTCCATAGTACAGTATATGGATTTAAGTTACAGGAAGGCATATTCCAACTGAATGTTAGAAAAACTTTCCTACCAGTAAAAGCATGGAGCTAATTCCCCACAGCAGGCTGGGCTCCCCTTCACTGGAAAGCTGGGTGGCACTTGGAGGTGTTCTAGTCCAACCCGTGCCCAGGACAAGAATCCTCTTACCATCCCAAATGACTGTCCAACCTTTGCCTTTTGTTAACATGAAGGCCAGACAGACATCTTTCTGAGATAAATGAAACTGGATTCCCGCATTAAGTATGGGTCTGAACTCAATAGCTTAAATGGCCCCTTCTGATTTTGATTCCTTGGAGTATTTCTCTTTTAAAAGATTTGACACTGCAGTTTGATAACTCTGTCTTTAGCGTAGTAGCTGCTGTTCTTTTCCTCCCTCAGAACTAATAAAAAGGGCTTCTAGATAAAATTTCCCATTAATTAAAAAAAAATTGGATCACGATTAAATGTTTTTTTAAAAAAATTAACCAAGCGATCATCTAGCTTTTTTACATGAGTCACTACATAATTATCTTTCTAGAATCCAAAATTAAAGTTTCATATATACACTTAAAAAATTATCTCTAAGTTATCTCTGCTACAGAATATTCTAATATATTAATTGAATTCTTTTAAGGAGCTATTTCTAGATATTTTCTTTAGAATTCATATATTTACCATGAATTGAGTGATCAGCAACAACCAATAAAGAACTCATATATACAAAGTACAGTTATATACATACAGTTCATCAATACATAAAACTGAAATTATGATTATTCTAGAACACAGCTCTAGATTAAGACATCTTGCCACTACAATGGACAATCTATACAATACAATATTTATATGGAAGTAATCTATTTAAATATCAAATTTTTCTTCACATATGCTATGCCCGTTTTCTTCATAATCTTCTCTTGTTACTACCATATCTTCAAAATCGTCGTTTTCAGAAATCAACTTTCCACCTTCCCAGGAATAAGTAATAGGACTGAAAACAAATAAAATAGCCTTTTAAAAAGCAAACTATATAAACATTATGAATTAATATTAATTTACATTGACCATAGTAGCAAATGCTATACAGTACTATATATAGTAGCAAATGTTACACTGTATAATGCAACAAAATGAATGTACTGAAGACCAAGTTGGTTGTGTTTAGTAAGTTATTTGTATTTGACAGGGGAAATGAACTGAATTACTACAAGTTACACCTAACCATGTAAGCAGATGAAAACCAGAAAACCAGAGCAAGCAGATGAAATTGTGTACCTTGATAGAATATTTATTAAAAGGATGGGGAAGTTTTAAGTTATGTGTGTAATTGCTTAGAAAAGTCATGGACCTGGGAATGGTTTACTTAAAAAGTGTTTGGGATAAAACAGGAAATAATAGTGTCAAGTATGAATGAATAGAAAGCGAGTCACCAGTATGAAAGAAGTAGGTTGAGGTGCTTTGTTTATATAGGCAACATAAATGAAGGCAGAGTTACAATACAAAAATATGAAGGAAGACTGAATGGGTTGAGCAAAAGGGAAAGACTGGGAAAATCATGGTTAGACAGAACAGATGAGGCCCTGAAAAAGAGGTGAGAAGTTTTAGGAAGAAAAGGCAATGTATGAAACGCTACATGGATATGAGGAAGCAAGGATAATCTGCAAGGATAGGAAGGTATATAGAAATATAATGAATAATTTTAGTTTTTCTTTCCTTTCCTATTATATTCTACTTTTATTTTGCCCACTATTTCTAATCCTTTTTCTGTGGTTTGCATAACACTGCTTACTCCAAAAGGAATAATATGGTGAGTACATATGTATATAACCAACAATATCAGAAGGAACCAAAATGCATAAATTCCTGAATTAATATTAGAAAATACAATATAGAACTTGAAGAATCATATTTTAAAATTAAGAAGCTCTATTTGTAAATGAAAGACTATTTACTTCTCTGGCAGAACAACTGATACATCATAATCTGTTGGAGTGAGGCATCGAACCTCAGAATAAACACGATCTCTGAATCCAGGGAACAGAGAGTTTCCACCAGTTAAAACAATATTCTTGAAGAAATGAGGCTGCATTTCTGTGGACAAATCAGATTAAGATAATTAAATATACTGAAATAATTTGTTTTATTTTATGGTAAAAGAAAGGACAATTGTCAGTTTAAACCGGCCTGAGAGGCAGAAATAATGTCAGATTTCTTTGTTTTTTCAAAAATTTAATTGGAACTATTGCTGATAGGACCATATGAGGCAGAAAGACACCATGGAGCTTTCTGCGAGTGTAACGAGGACAGATATGGTCCTCCTGCTAGAAGAGGTATTCACCTGAGGGTAACTAATGCACAAACCTATCATTCCCTCTAACAGGAGCTGCCTGAGGGTTTAAGACTGTGTTGTTAGCCTGGCATGAAAACATTTGTACTGAAGGCACTGCTACCATCATCCTAATGTTTAGCTATTTTACAAAAAATAATTGCTTATTTCCACAAAATGCTAAAACAAAACTGTATTTCACAATTTCTGATATCTTTAAATTATTTTAGTTCAGCATTCTTGATAGTGCACAGGTAATCACAGCAATTTTACAAGAGTTATATTAACGATAACAGTGGTTTTCCTATGTAATGTGTTGTTACATTTTAACTAGGTACTTAACCAAATTTTCTTTTCATGGTTTTATTAAATTTGATACCAAAGGAATAGGAACAGGAATTCTTGTATGCTAGAAGATATGTTTATAGAGAAAAATGTATTGGTTTGTAAATTTATCTACTGTAAATTTTATAGATGTAGCATCATTAATATAAATACCTCAGCTTACGATAATTGGAACTGGAATTTCCATTGCTAAGCAATGCGGTTGTAAAGTGTGATGTCACATGATTGCATCACTTAGCAATGGCACTCCCTGTTGCCGTTGTTAAGCAAGGATCGTGGGTCATTAAGTGAGGATCTCCTCGCAACTTCCTGCTGGCTTCCAACAAGCAAAGTCAATGGGGAAGCTGGCAGGAAGTCCCAAGTCCTCAGTGGATCACAAGCAGGCTGGAGGACAGGTAAGTGGTTGCTGCTGGGGTGGGGGGGAGTGTGCGCAGGTGGCCATCACAGTAGGGTTGATTGTGGCTGCTGCCGGGTGGGGGAGTGTGCGTGTTAGTGGCTGTTGAGATGCAGCGTAATTGCAGCGGGGCTGAGTGTGCAAGATGTGCGGGTGGCTGTTGAGGTGTGGCATAAGCACGATGGGGCTGGGGTGGCTGTTGCCAGGTGCGCAGGTGGCCACTGAGGCATGGCACAAGCACAGCTGGTTGCTGCCATGTGGGGGAATGTGTGCAAAGGTGTGTGGGTGGCAGTTGAGAGGAGTGTACTGCAGGCACCATAGCCAGGCTCCTCAGGGGAAAAAGCTGCTGGAGTACAAACAACTTACTGGAGCGACTTGTGACCTTCCCTGCCGGCTTCCCCATTGACTTTGCTTGTGAGAAGCCAGCAGGGATGTTCACATATGGCGATCACATGACGCAGGACGCTGCGACTTTCATAAGTGTGAGCTAGTTACCAAGCGCCAGGATCACATGACTGCAGGATTGCTGGGATGGCTGGAATCTTGAGGACCGATCATAAGTACTACTCGTTCAGTGCCGTTGTAACTTTGAACGGTAGCTGAGCAAGTGGTCATTAACTGAGGACTATCTGTAATTATTCCAAATATCAATATTAAAATAGCTATAGACAATGAAGCCTTTGCCCTTAAAATGTAAGCAACTGAAGCAAAATACCAACTGTATCATTGTGCAACATATTTCACAGATGGATCTTTGAGAATGCAACACCATTTTAGTAAATGTACCTTCTGGCAAATTCTGAATTGAATAAACAATGGCTTCAGGAATTCCCATTTCTTGAATGCCAATATCTGAAGGATGGAAGAGTATTTCTGGAACTGCAAATCGCTCATTTGTAAGACGAAGTATTTGCTCACCAGTTTTGTACTTTCCACTTAACACCATTTCTTCCCTTGGCTAAATCAAATAATTATAAAACACATAGTGGTAAAGTCTATATTTCATTAAGTGTTATTCAATTACTGTATACTATATTACTGTACTTGTTTGATTTTATACATTTTACCACATAACGTTCCATATAGTAGCTGCATAATAA